GAAGCCAAAAAGGGGGTGAGGGGCCCATTAAATAAATTATTTTCATATAGCAGTCAGATTATGTTCGCTCTTCTGTGTTTATTAAAAGGCCTCGTCAGCTCAGAGCTCAGCTGCGCGAGAAAAGCCCAGAAAGCCAGCCAGTTTTCCTGCTCTGCTGCTGTTTTAGGGCCAGATCTCTCTCCCAGAACAGCAGATTTTTAAGGGGCCTTGTGAATTCTTATTAGGCATCCAAACGCAGATATAAAACCGTGCATTGTAAACAGAATTACCCTGCATATAAAACAACCAAAATACTGTAAGGTCTTTTCTTTTCCTTATCAGGTTACCCAGGCATATTTTTTAAAAAGTCCACCCACGCAGAGAGACTGGGGAATGCCAAAGCTGCTTGAATTTTAATTATGTCAGACATGCAGCAAGGGGCTACCTTGTAAAGAACAGAGTTAATAAAACATGGATATGGGCTTAATTCCACTTAATAAGCAGACCTGGCAATGCACATATTTTAGATGTAATTTACACAGGGTGGGAATTTGGTACAATTCTTAAAAAGTGGCTGCATGCAGACTTCCAAACTCAACGGTGCCTTCCTATTGGAAGAGATTTGTTGCTATGCTGCTATGAGATGTGAATTAGGCCATTCATAATTATCAGTGAGAGATGGGTGCCCTTCTTTTCCCATTCAGCTGCAGGAGTACACTGATACATTTTACAGTGCTATTAAATTTAAACCTCCCTTAACTTTGCACATGCATTTTTAGTGGCTGTGCACATAAAAGAGCAAATAAAAAAAGCATACATTTCTATCTGTGGTTAGCTGTCTGTGCACAGAATTAGTAGAAGAGAGATATGCCTAATGACAAAATCTACAGAATATAGCCCACGGCTTTTGAAGGCTCTATGAAAAATAAACAGGATATTCTGTAAGCAGCCCTGCGGGAATTATTGCACTTCGCTAAGGAAGGATGCCAATAACCTCCGTTTTGACCTAGATAGATCATTCTGTTTGGGAAGGTAAGGGAATGCAATTCTAGATCTCTTCTCTATTCAAGCCAGCAAAGCTCTGAAATTCATCCAGGCCTTTGTTTTTAAACCTCGGCACTGAGGACAGAAGAATGTATTTATCGAGTGAACAAAGCCTCAGAGGTGACAGCACGTTGAAATGTTTATGTTGGCCTCCTTCCACAGCACGTGCCCAGTGTGTAGGCTCCTTTCTGCCCAGGGTGAGGACTGAGGGACATTTAACAGGTCTTATGATCAGGCAGAGAAGCCTCTGCTTGCTCGTATGAGCAGGATGGGCCTTTCCAACATCTGTAGGAGCAACACCAGGATCTCTCCAATGTGGTCACAGCACAGTTTGCTTGTTTGTTTTGTGAATGAGTGCAGCTCACTCCTTCCCTCTTCACAGTGTGGAGTGTACAGCTCTCTGGGCTGGAGGCGAGGAGGGAGCACCAGGGAGAAGGGGGAAGGAGAAAAACTGCCTTAATCATTATAGGTTATAAGGATGTTAACATTATACTAATACTATTATAGAGAGAGAAAAAAAAAAGGTAGACCGAAAGAGAATCAAGGGAATTTTGTGCCTTAAGGAAAAATGCCTCATTGGGCTGGTTTGGTCAAACAATGGAGCTTGCTTTGGTGGCAGTGAGGAGCGCAGAGCCTGCCTGCAGCAGGAGCACTCCATGCACTGCTGTGTGCTGTGCTGCCCTCAGAGCGACAACTGGGACAGACAGACAGATAGACGGCTTCAGCTCATCTTCTCCTGATGGAAGTTAGAGGGAAGAACTTCTGCTGGCAGAGTGTAGAGCACGTGTAGGCCTTTCTGCTTCACTTGGCAGCCCACCTAAGATGACACATTTCCCCTGCAAGAATGACAGTGCAGGAGCACGATGAGATTGGCCTTCAGTTCCCTGGCTCCAGCTCTGGCTCGCTCGGTGCTGTTAAAAGCACGGGCTGCTCAGAACCGCTGTGAGCTGGGGTGTGATCCAGAGTGGTGCAGAGCAGGTGTGCATGCCAGTAATGTCACCAGGAGTTCATGGCACGGTGCCTGCATTGAGAACCAAACCATGGACTACTTGGCCATCTATAAATAAAGACTTGTGTGCTAGCAAATGCAATATTATATTCAGCTTCAGAAGCTCTGCTTTAATTTAATTCCATTACTGCAGAGGCTGAGAAACCAGAGAGAAGCATTTCTTTTTGGAGTTGCAGCAGCTCTCTTCTTAAATCCGCAAATCACCAACAAGGTCTGTGAGCAGCTTTATCACCCATTAGGATCATTTTTAAGTGCAGAGCTGCTGCTTTGGGTTTGCAGCTACACAAGAAAATAAATGAGTCAGGTGATAACATATGTGAAATTTATTTAAAATAGGAGGTGATAAAACAGAGTTCTTTGACCAGACTACAGTCAGAAAGTAGCTTGATGTAGAGATGGAAAACCTCTTTCTTGGGGAGATATCAGATTTGCTCACATCCTTTGAAGATGGAGCTTTGGATAATTCACTGGCAGTTCAGACAGTGATTCCCTGATTGCAAACAGCTTTCTTTAGGCCATGCCTGTACCTTGTACTGCAACATTCTTTGATGTCAAGTGAAATAATCCAGCAGAGAAAATTAAAATACGAAGCATTTTATTTACAGGAAGGGAAAGAAAAATCTTTATTGATTGGAACAGCGAAATCTGCTAAAAAAAAAAATTGGCAGCAGTTAAAAAAAAATCCACAGCTTGACATTTATATCTCCTGAATGGCTGTGAATATCTTCCTCTCCTGTTCTCTCCTGGAGAACCTGATTCCACCTTGTTGGCATCCACAGGATTACGAGTGAGTATCAGGAAGTAATGCCGGAGTTTAGCTCATCCTTGTGGTCACAATGGGTGGATATTTCAGTTACCTTCTTTCCCTATGCATTACAATAGTTAAGAGCTGAATTCTTGCTGCGAAGTGGTGACACCGATTATTTTGCTGAAGCTGGTGATTCCCAGGGGTTCCCCAGTTGGTTTAAAGAGCTCTCTTCATCCCGGCAACTTTGGGACTGGGTTCAGTCTCACCTCACCACTGTTACTTGTCCCATGATACCTGGAGAAGCTGAGATCTCCTAACCCTATGATCTCCCAGGTACCCTATTGCTCGTCACTTTCTGCGTACAGACATAGTAGCTCTTAACTGAACCTGAAAGCTGGCAAGCCACCATTCTTAATGGCAGCAGCAACAGTCCGTATGACCAGAGGCGTATTTCTACATCTTAAATTTAGTTCACTGAAGTTTGTGTGTGGAAGTAAGTAGGAGTGAACCCAGCTCAGGCTGGTTGCCTTGATCAGAGAGCATGTGCTGATAAGATTGTGTTGTGAGCTGGGACCACAAGTACCGGAGGCAGCCCAGCGATGCCCACCACTGCAGCCGCCCTTCATGCCCCCCAGACGAGACAGCAGCCCCCCAGCAACGCAGCCCTCTCTGTCTAGAGAATAGGGGAAAGCAGCGGGGACGCCCGGCGGGGAGCAGAGCACGGCGGCGTGGAGGTGTCCGAGTCGGCTGTACGCATCTCCGGCGGCTGCTTAGTGGGGGCGGGTCGGGGCCGGACGGGGCTGCGGGCACAGGGATGCCCGTTTCCCGATGGGGGCGGCCCGGGGAGGCTCCCGAGGACTGCCCGGGCAAAGGGGCAGAGCTACCGCGGAGCTGCAGTTGCCTCTCTCTGCCTGCGCGGTTTTTTCTCATCCGAACCTCGATCACGTAGGATTGCGTAGAGAAGGGCGAGCGGGGAGCAGCTGCAATCCTCCCCGAGCCCATAGCTGAGCTCCAGGCCGGCACCGACCGCCGTGAGGCTGCGGAGCTCCCCGCCGCTTTGGCAGCGGCCCCGCGCTGCGTGGGAGTCAGGGGGGGGGGGCGGCTTCCCCGGCCGCACCCTCCCCTCTCCGCCGCCCCGTTACAGCCGGGCTGAGCCGGAAGATGCGGGAGAGCGGCGGGTGCGGCGCGGCTCCTCCACGCCCCGCCGCCGTCGGGCGGCACCGCGAAGAGTCCTGAGCCCCGGACGGAGCAGCGGCAGAGGCAGCCGCACCCCCCACACCACCCTCCTCCTCCTCCTCCTCCTCCTCCTCCCCGCCTCGCATCGCTCCTCCTGCCGTCGTCCCCGCCGCGGCAACCGGGCCCGGGGCCGCCCCGGTGCTGAGCGCCCGCGGCTCCCGCCGGGCCGGGCCGGACGATGCGGGCTGCTGCCGTCGGGGAGAGCTGCGACCGGGGCAGAGGCGGCGAGCAGGGCTGGAGGAGCTGCACCAGCCATGGCGTTGTGAGCCCGGGGCGCCGAGCTGCGGCGATGTGAGCCCGTACCCTCGGCCGGAGCGCTTTTTTTTTTTTTTTTTTTTTTTAATTTAATTTAATTGCGTTGCCTCTTTTTGCTTTGTTCGCCGGCCTGGTGCTTTTTGTCGTGGCCGCTTTGCCTTCCCCTCCCGCCCTTCTCCGCGAGAGGAGTGGGGAGGGGGGGAAAAGAGGAAGAGGAGGAGTGCAAACAGAAATGCAGCGCGGCTCGCCCTGAGCCCGGCCGCGGGAGCGGAGCGGAGCCGCGGGACGCGTCCATGTGCGCGCAGTGCCGCGCCGCGCCTGGGAGCCACCGCGCTGGGGCCGGGGCCGGCCGCGGGCCGGGGGGGCTCTGACTCATCCCACGGCCCCTCGCCCCAGCGGAGCGGAGCCGCGCCGCGGGGATCCGCGGATCTTCCGCACACCCTCCTCTGGACACAGCAGCCGCCAGCGGACCTTTGCGAGCGGGGCGGCCGCCTCCCGGATTTACAAGGCACGGGGCACCGCCGGCCCGGCCGGGATTTGCGCTCTCCGGGAACAGACCCATGGGCGGCGGGGTCCGGCGGCCAGCCATGGTTGTTAGCCGGAGCGCCCCGCTCCGCCTTGCCGGCTGAGCCCTCCCCGCTGCCGGGACTCGGGGCCGCGGCACGCTAAGCGGGGCGTCCCCGTCCCCCCGGGGCGCGGCGGCGGCTCGGCCCCAGCACGCTCCCCTGGACCGGAGCGGCGAGGCGAAGCGCGGGGGGCCCATGAGCGGCGATGGCAGCGGCTATCGCCAGCTCGTTGATCCGGCAGAAGCGGCAGGCGAGGGAGTCCAACAGCGACCGGGTGTCCGCCTCCAAGCGCCGCTCCAGCCCCAGCAAGGACGGGCGCTCCCTCTGCGAGAGGCACGTTCTGGGGGTCTTCAGCAAAGTGCGCTTCTGCAGCGGCAGGAAAAGGCCGGTGAGGAGGAGACCGGGTGAGTACCGCGGGCCGGGGCCGTGGGGACCGGCTCCGCTCCCAGGTGCCTCCAGCCGTCGGGGGAAGGGCTCGCTCCGCGTTCAACTTCTCCCGGGCGTTGCGGTTCCTCCGAGCTGCGGGGTCGCTGGGCTCAGCCCTCCGCCGCAGCCCGAAGGAGGAACCCAGCGGCTTAACTCACGGTCGTATTTTCCCACCTCCCACTAGGTTCGCTTTTCAAATAATGTGCTCTTATTTTCTGCATAGTGACAAGGGGATCGATAAGCCGAGGATCAATTAGAATCGTGGCCATTTGATATCTCGATCCCTCAAGTGCTGCTTCTTGAGCTGAGTTGCATGGGGAATTTCCTTAGCTCTGAAAGCCTTCCAGATGGCAGCTGCATGACTGTTGCACATAATACCGAGCTTGCAAGAGCCTAGAAATGCATTTTGGGACAGCCTTCTGTTCCTCTCTTTCCTTTATTTGTTTGTATGTGGGCTTAGTTTCCATTCCTTGTAGAAAACTTCTGCGCTGATGTACGTGTTGCTCACATTCCCATGAAGTCCCACCACCCACAGATTCAGTTCTGAGCAGTGCACTCAGGTGTCCTTGGTCAGCATGAGAACTCAGCACCAGGCAGGAAAAGGCCCTTCCTGAATTCTCAATGGAATTACTATTCACTTCTTCCTTTCTTTCTTACATTGCTAGAAACCACCACTCAGAAAAAAAAAATAAAGTAAAACACAGCTTGCTTTGAGAAGCTGGTGTGAGCAGGTCCTTTCCTCAGGTGTTGGTTAGTATCATGGTTAAGTGTGATACACATGTACTCATCTCTTAGGGATAGGTCGTCAACCTGAGTAGTTCTCCCATATTTCCCATATATGTGCACCTTGCAGCGAGGTGTTGGCCAGCCGGTGGCTGCTCCTGAGGCTGTAGGCTGAGATATGTGACCAGCACTCAGAGGAGGGACAAAAACGGAAAACCTCTCAGGTAAAGAGGCCATTCATGGTTGGTTGTGATTGAAGGGGGAAGAAGACTGGGTTATTGGGTTGTTGCCAGCATCCCCCATGCGCAGCCCGTGGGGCTGGGTCTGTATTCGGCTAGCAAAATGCTTCAAGACTCACAGTGCATGTGGTTAGGCTGCAAACCAGACTTATTAATGATCTGTTCTAAAGCAACTGCCAAGAGAGGATGCAAAATATTTGAAATACAGGGTGACTTGACATATTCAAAGGAAAAAAAACAATGTTGCTTTTTTCTTAATTTGTTCATCTTACTGTGAGTGGTAGCTTGTGGACCATCCTATATCTTAATTACCTTGTGAATCCAGACCATAAAATGGCTCTTTCCCAAGGAGTGTTCTCATTTTATCTGAGGAATCCCTTTTTGTGGGATCAAGAGTGGAACCTGGGACTCTCGCTGATGGAACCTTTTCTCATTCCTCTTTCCTCCCCATCTGCTATTGAGTGACATCCCTCAAGCCGAGGACTCAAAGAGTGGAAACCATAAAAACACAGAGCCATTAAGGTTGGAAAAGACCACTAAGATCATCGTATCTGATGGTCAGCCCTCAACCCAAATCTGGACCTGTTTTCTGGATTTCAAGATGCTTCATTGCATTAAAGTTTGGGTAACTTTTACTGTGGGATGTGGATGGGCAGTCTTGTTACTGGTCCCATCCCATTGCTCCCAGCTGCAGGTGTAATTCTGCTTCCTTTGGATTCACTAAATGCCCATGAAGAATCACTAAATTCTAAGAATTCCCTTCACTCGCATGGGCTTTCTTGCTAAGGGAGGTGTTCAATAAGTTACACACCAGAGTGATTTAAGGAAGACTTTTTATTGACTAAGAGGAAGGATCAATGCTAGTCAGCGCTGTAAAAATAAAACTGTTCAGTCCTCAGAGCTGACAGTCAATCACTTGTAACCTGCGCCGTATTCCATGTATAAAATTAAGCAAATAGAGAAATTAATTTGCTTTAAAAAAAATACCAACTGCCCAGTTCCCTCTTGTCAGTTTTCAAATGAAGGGTTGTTCTACTGGTGTATCCCACTCCCGGGCTCAGGTGTGCTGCTCAGGGGCTCGCATGCTGCTGGGTTTGCTGCCATTCTCATTGTTGGTGCAGGGGGTGTGCTGTGCCCTCGTTACTTATTCATCGCAGAGTCACTCCTGTGCATAGAAAATGACATGCAAATGAATTGAAACTAGTTTAAAGAAATGTGCATACATTGTGCAGTGACCCACAACCCCAGTGATTATGTGTGCTTAATGATATGCAGTTTAGCACGGTGAGAGGAATGCGAGAAACACCCGTGTTCAAAAGGGGTAGATCCCATTTGGAAGTGGCATGCTGCTGGGGAAACTGTTGTTACCTTCCTAAACATGACCTTGTTTTACAGCTGTAGGGAGAAACTGTTAAAATACTTCACTCTGACAGAGCGATATGCATCTACAGTACCTGGCGAGCTCTACTAAATGGAGAGAGTTCACCCCGTTGTGCAGACGGTGAAACCAAGGCACTGCTCAACACAGAGCCCCAGTTCCTCCTATCCACCCCATGTTCTTTGCACACTCCCCATGTTCTTTGCCTCTGTAAAGGAATGGTGTGAGCTTATGTCAATTAAGTGTTTATAATAAGCAACACAGTGCTGCAACTGAAATATCCAGGAATGGCGCGCATGAGCAGAGCTGCGCTTGGCGCTGGTTGGCACCGCGTGCTCCACTTCTCAGTTCTCCTGTTGTCATAGGGAAGGGAGAGCTCAGAGCTGGGAGAAGTTGGGGCTGGCTCAGCCCTGGGCGTGGGCAGCTTTTTGGAAGCAGGTCCATGCAGGGACATCTTGTATAATCAGAGCTCTGGGTGCCTGGGGAAAACAGGCTGCGGAGACGTCTCGGTGGTCGGTGGCAGTAAGCACCATGCTGTAAAGCCTGCACTCGTTTCATCCACCTCGTGATGGGCAAAGGTGGCTCACCCAGCATGGTCTCCTTTCTTTCCCACGTTCTTTTTTGTTATCTTTTCTACACGCTTGGCTCTAAGGTACGACTTGTCAGTTTGAGGCAGGCCAACTAAGGACGCCGGTGTGATGGACAGAGCTGCAGATTTGGACTCATGGGCTGAATCCCATTCTTGTGAATTCATACAGGCTCTCGGCAGCAGCTGTGCAGGTACCAAGCAAAATGTGCATATGCTGAAGTGCACCTGCACAGTTATATGTATAAAGTATGGCTAGAAAAGGTTAAAATATGTATTTGGTTCTGACCATAGGAACTTGCTGGAGGATTGCAAAGAAATTAACATGAGGCACGGATTTTTGGTGCTGTGTCAGGAGATTTAACCTTTGATTAAGGCTTGATTAAGAACAACAGATCCATGAGTTGAATGCATAATACTGGGCATAGCTGCTCTTCCATGGCTTCCCTGCCAACAAATGGTGGAACCAAGTGTATTCATCCCCTTGTGGCTGAACTGAAGCCTCCAGACATGCTCAGCTGTATAGTAGTGCTAGCACTGGGCTGGTGGGTGCAGGTTGTTGAGCATGCTGTTGCTTCATCACTCATCTTCACAGGCAGAGCTCAGCCCGAAGCTGTGTTCTGCAGCACCAGCCATTGCAGAGCATTATCTCCATCTCTTTGGGCTTCGTTTCTGTAAAAGGGTTTCCAGCTCAGAATGCAGAGTTTAGGGTCACAAACAGTATTTTTTTCTTCCATCAAGAAGAACAAATAAACAACACTGTGTTTTTTTCCTTTTTTTTTTTTCCACTGTCTGATATGTATTCCGTGTTTCTCCAGGGAAAAGATGCTTTTCCTTAAGGAGATCTAAAGGCATCTTCCAAAGTGAAGGAAATAGCTCAAGTGTAGAAAAAAAATAACCCAGTAACTTAAAATGGCTTTTCCCTTTTCAGTATTTCTCATCTTGAATAATAGATGAAGATTTGGAGTTTTATATATATAAATATATGTAGATATCTTTGCAGCAGTATAAGTGAAACACAAGAGCAACTTCAGCTGAAGGACACGGAAGGACCTTGTTCATTCACATTTGAACATTTGAGAAGTCTGTCTATTTTGTAAGCTGTTAAATTCCCCCGAGTCCATTGGATCACAGAATCATAGAATGCCTTGAGTTGGAAGGGATCTGAAGGATCACCAAGTTCCAACTCCCTGGTGCATGCAGGGTTGCCAACTGCTAGATCAAGCACCAGCTCAGGTTGCCCAGCACCCAGCCCAGCCTGGCCTTGAGCAGCTCCAGGAATGGAGCAGCCACAGCTTCCCTGGGCAACCTGTGCCAGCACCTCACCTCCCTCTCTGTGAAAAACCTAGCCAACATCTAATTTAAATTCTCCCTACTTTAGCTTAAAGCCATTCCCACTTGTCCTATCACTATCAACCCCTGTAAAGAGTTGATTTTCCTCCCTTAAATATTGGAGTTGAATCCTTTCTGATTTCATACGGAGTGAAAGTGATGATTGAAGCTCATGGAAGAAGCACTTTTTTAGTTCTCCACTCATTTTTTTATTGTCCTTGCTCACTTTTATGGTCATTGCTCTCAGTGGAGCTGCAGTACTCGACCAACCCAAGGAATCTGGCCACTGTGATGTCCCAGAGTTCAGGGTGCATCTCAGTGTTTCTCCACACAGTTTGTGTGTGTGTCTGTGTACATACAGCTGGGGGACGCCATCACACTGCTATTCAGTAGGGTTTGGTGCTGTCCTCCACCAGCTTGGGCTAGGGATAAGGTGTGCTTGGAGACAATGACATTGCCTTGCTGAAAAGAATCCTACAAGTGTTGGGTGAAGGCACGTGTGCCAAGTGGCTGGTGCTAATGAGTGCACAGTAATCAGGAGTAGGGAAAGGTTCCCTTCTGCTTGAGACAGCTCAGCAAATAGGTTTTGTTTTATCAAATTGAGCCATTGGGGTGATATTGCACACATACATGATTTCCAAATGCGGGGACTCAGAAGCACTGCAGGCTGCTGGGTTGCTCCAGAGCATGGAAAACTCAGCTGCAACCCACTTTGCAGCA